TGTTTTCCCCCCCCCCCAAAAAAAAAAAAAAAAAAAGAGAAGAAAAAGGGAGACCCACAGGAGGCGGCTGTTTTTTCAGGCAGGCTGGTGACCTATTGTGGCCTAGGGGGGGAGAGGCCCCCGCATAGGTCCCCGCGGAGGCACCATGGGCCGTTGGGCAGGACGAGGCGGCAGAGGGATGCGCTGATAGCTGTAGGGAGGAGGCCGAGGTGGGCCATTGTATCCATGGGGTGGCATCAAAGGAGGCGGCCCACGCATGCCATGAGGTGGCATGGGACCAGGATGACCTGGAGAAATAAAACATGCGGGTAATTAGATGGCACCCAGAAGCCCAAGACCGCATTAAGCTGTGAGGGTAAATTGTTTCAGGCAGAAAGGGAGTCAGAGCTATTGCATTGTTGGAGGGATGTGAGAAAAACTGTTTGCGTTTCCCTTCTTTGGCTGGAAGCCACTTCTAGGAAAGTTGATACCCTTCACGCCCCCCACATGCCTTTTTGGCACTAAGCCAGAAGAGGAGAGAAGAAAGAGAGTACTTGAGACTTTGGCTTCCACTTACCCATTGGGGATCCAAAGTGAGGTCCCCTGGGTGGCATGCCCATGGGGGGTGGCCCAGGATGGGGCATGCCTGGAGGTGGGCGCGGAGGTGGCTGCCCCCCTGCTCCTGGAGGTCCAGGGTGATGTGGGCCCATCCCGGGCATTCCATGATGGACCTGCATTTGCGGCATCCCTGGGAAGACAACAAAAGGCAGGGATTTCTCATGCACACCTTCACTGTCCCAAAGACACAGATCGGCAATTTGTGTCAGGAAGATCTCACTCTCATCGTACAGCTGGTTTACAGCTGGACCCCACTGTTCCCAAACTCTCCCAAAGACAGAATCGGTCTTCTGCTAAGAAGAAAGGTGTCCAAATCACAGAACGTACCTGGATGCATCCCGCCAGGAGGGAAAGGATGTGGGTGGGGAGGATGCGCCCCACCGGGGGCTCCTGCAGAAGGAGGTCCTGGGGCACCAGCTCCTGGTGGCATGGGTGGAGGTGGCATGGATGGAGGCAATCCTGGTGGCAAAGCTCCCGGAGGGGGTACTGGTGGAGGAAATGATCCTGGCGGGGGGATGCCTATAATGGAAAATCATAAACACCCTGAAATACTAGAGAAACCACACAATAACCCCCTTGTTATGCAAAACGTTGCATCACTCGTCAACGTTTTCAGAAATTAAGTACTCAAGCAGTGTGAAAAAAACAATTGCCGGAAGCTACCAGCCCCAGAACTGGTGTACCTGGAGGAGTAACCCCTGGCCCCAAGGTGGTAACCACTGGCGTAGGCACCGAGGGTGGGGGTGGAGCGTCTGCAAAGAGTTGATGTGGCCGGTCTGCCTGGGAGAGGGGGTTCTGCGCAGCGAGGAGGCGCTCAGCCGCTGAGCCATGCCTTTCCCCCTTAGAATCCTTCTTGAAGGCATAGGAAACGGTTATGGGGCGGTTGCAGAGGTATTGTCCATTCATCGCCTCTATGGCAGCATCTGAAGCATCAAAGCTGGCAAAGTTGATGAAGGCGTAACCCTTGGAGTTGCCCGTGTCAGGGTCACGCATGATCTTGGGAGTCTGAAGGATGACCCCGAAGGCGCTAAACGTGTCGTACAGCAGCTTCTCGTCTATCTCCGGGTCCAGGTTGCCGATGAAGATGTTGGCGCCCACATCCAGGTTCTTGTTGTGGGCCGAGGCCTTGTTGACCCGGATGGGCTTCCCGTAGAGTTTGATCATGTTCATGATCTTGATGGCGTAGTCAGCGTCCTCCTCGCTGAGAAATTCCACGAAGCCATAGCCTGCAAGGACACAACCCGGAGAGGGCAGCCGATCCTGCCGGTCGTCGCTGCCCTCGCTCGCTCCAGCAGCGCATGGCCCCCTGGCCAAGAAGGGCTGCCCCAGGAGAAGCCGCCCGCCGCCCGCTTACCTTGGTGCTGGCCCGTGACGCGGTCCTTGGGCATGTGGGTGTTGACCACGGGCCCCGCCTGGAGGAACAGCTCCCACAGGAGCGGCTCGCTGACCTTCTCGTCCAGGCCGCCCACGTAGACGGTGGCATCTGGCGGGCGAGACGGCGGTCAGGCGGAGGAGCCAGCCCACCCTCCCCCCCGCGGCCCCTTTCGGAGGAGGGCGGCCGAGGCCCAGCCCGCGACTCCGCCAGGGGCCTCGCGAGGGCCTGAGGAGCGGCCGCCCCGCACCGTCCCGAGCCCAGCGCCGTTACCTTGGTTCCGCTCCGAGATGGGGCCCGCCGCCATCTTGATCGGGCCCTTCCCGGCTTTCACTCGCACTTCCGATCCTAGCCGGAAATTACGTTAAGGGCGCAGCGTGGCCGCCGCGGCCATCTTGTTCTCGGGCGGACGCTCGGACGCCTCGCCGTGGAAGGCAGCTGGCTGTAAGGACTACCGGGCAACTCACGCGCATAATAGTCTCCTCGCGGAAGTCAGCCTTCAGATTAAAAGTAACGAAGTGCCCGCCACTATATCACAATAACGCGTCTGCGTACGTGCGTCATTTCGACAGCGATAACGTGGCCTAAAACCAGAACTTCCGTGGTCCACCAGTTATGCTACTTCCGCCCATAAGAGGGAAACTGCTCCTGGCCAATCAGCGTGAGCCTATCCCAAATTCCTCCCCTTCGCCTTTTCCCGCTTCTTTCTTTCACCACGCAGGCGCAGTAGCGACTCACGAGCTCAGCTTCCCCCCCCCCCCCTTTTCCTTTTCGTTCGCGCGCCAATTCCTGAGGGGGAAAATCGTTGCCTTTTAAAAGGAGGCAGAAAAAGAGGGGGAAAAGAACCTTGAGTAACTAAGTTTTGTGGGAGCCTCCTCTCCAAATAGAAAGACAGCCATTGGCGCCTCTGCCTCTTCTAGCCAGGCCGTGTTTGGGCTCGCGAGGTGGTCGAGGCCCAGCAAGGGCAGGAATAAGACTGGGGATGATGGGTCCTGTGGTCTTACCGCCGTCACGGCCTCCTCCGGATTGTCAGGCAGTGAAGAAAGTGCAAAGTAATTGTTTCCTGCACATTGAAGGTTGGGTGGGGTAGGAAGGGCTTCTGAGCATAGGCAGAGTGCGTCCGAGAGGCCTGGCTGAGCGAAAGGAAAGAAACACGGCCTGGGACGGGCAGGTGGTTTATGTGCTTCATGCTAAATAGGCAGAGAGTTTTATTTAGACCCCAAATACTTCTGTGGCAGACCTTTATATTACATAGATAGCAATCCTTTACTCTCCCCCCCCCCCCCCCCCCCCCCCCCCCCCCCGC